TAGTTGCACTTTCAAGAACTTTCGATGTAACTAAGTTATTTTTAAAATGTATTGGTAAAGAAAATTTTCTTATTCATATTGTCTTTTTTACATTCTAATCTGCTAACCATTAGACTATACACATATTCATTTACGTCCACTGTCTACAAATGATTATGAAATGTGAGTTGTGAAAAAAAACATGTAAAGAATTGCTAATCCAAATTTAACAAGTGACAATTGTATATTCAAATAACATTTCTTTTGTAAGAAGCCATGGATTATACCATGTACGATCATGGGTTTCACTATATGAGCAGCATGGGAGTTTCACGCATCTGAAACTTTCTCTTCATCAGAATGATTTCATTTCTTTTATTATTTCAGGTAAACAAGTTGGCTTTTGTATGATGTGCGAACTCCAGGTGCATATTAGACGTTGCTATGAGAATTCAGGTCATGCCATTAAGCCACAGTCCATTCTACAGAAGTTAAAAGGTAAATAGAGGAAATTGTTGTTTACAGTGTTTTAAAACTATACTTATAGCAATAAATCTAAAGTCTCCTACCTAATTCCCACTACAGCTGGCACAAGTATGGTGTGGGGGAAAAGCTCGCTCTATAAAATTCTGTCTGAAATGTTAAATTCTCTTGTGATTTTTATCAAGTGGAAAATGCGTTCTTAAATATTTTATTTAACTTTAGAAGGCTATCATATAATTAATACAAATATAAAATTTATCACTTAGCTTATTGGTGTTACCGCCAGTATATCCTGATTCTAGAGTTTCGTAGACTGATCATCTGGCAGTCACTTTGTCTACCTGTCAGGGGAGAATTGATAATATCTTTGTACACAACAACAAATGATGATATTTATATATCTGACCCTCAGCTCCTGTAAATGATTTCTGTGTGAAGTTCCACAACTATAAAACACTCATGGAAATTCTCCTATTTGAGCTTAACAACTTTAACAAAATGTTGCATTTACTTTCACAAATATTTTGGGAGTGGCTGTAGATTATTGTGAAACAAGGGCATACAAAATGTCCGATACAGTTATGCTTTTTGGGAAAAGATCAAAAGGGTGTAAGAATAAAAAGGGATGAGAAGTGGGCAAGAGTGGAGAAAGGAAGGGAAGCATTCATTTTTTTTTTTTTTTTTTTTTTTTTTCCCTTTTTTTTTTCTCTTTTTTTTCTTTTTGTTTTTTTCTCTCATTTCTTTTCTGTTTTTTTTCTCTCATTTCTTTTCTGTTTTTTTTCTCTCATTTCTTTTCTGTTTTTTTTTTCTCTCATTTCTTTTCTGTTTTTTTTCTCTCATTTCTTTTCTGTTTTTTTCTCTCTCTCATTTCTTTTCTGTTTTTTCTCTCTTTTTCTTTCTTTTCTTTTTTTTTTTTTTTCTCTCATTTCTCCTGTTTTTTCATTTTCTTCTGTTTTTTTTTTCTCTCTCCCATTTCTTTTCTTTTTTTTTTTTTTTTTTCATTTTTTCTTTTCTGTTTTTTTTTTCTTTTCATTTTCTTTTCTTTTTTCTTTTCCCTCTCATTTCTTTTCTGTTTTTTCTTTTCCCTCTCATTTCTTTTCTGTTTTTTCTTTTCCCTCTCATTTCTTTTCTGTTTTTCTTTTCCCTCGTTTCTTTTCTGTTTTTCTTTTCCCTAGTTTCTTTTCTGTTTTTCTCTCTCTCGTTTCTTTTCTGTTTTTCTCTCTCTCGTTTCTTTTCTGTTTTTCTCTCTCTCGTTTCTTTTCTGTTTTTTCTCTCTCGTTTCTTTTCTGTTTTTTTCCTCTCTCATTTCTTTTCTGTTTTTTTTCTCTCTTTTTTTCTTTTTTTTTTTTTTCTGTTTTTCTTTTTCTTTTTTTATTTTCTTTCTTTTCTTTTTTTTTTTTTTTTCTCTTTTCTGTTTTTTTTCTGTTTTCTTTTTGTTTTTTTCTCTCTCCTGTTTCTTTTCTGTTTTTTCTTTTCTCTCTCTCTCTCCTGTTTCTTTTCTGTTTTTTCTTTTCTCTCTCTCTCCCCGTTTCTTTTCCGTTTTTTCTTTTCTCTCTCTCTCCCGTTTCTTTTCCGTTTTTTCTTTTCTCTCTCTCTCCCGTTTCTTTTCCGGTTTTTCTTTTCTCTCTCTCTCCCGTTTCTTTTCCGTTTTTTCTTCTCTCGTTTCTTTTCTGTTTTTTCTCTCTTCTCTCGTTTCTTTTCTGTTTTTCTCTTTTCTGTGTTTTTCTCTTGTATTTTCTCTTGTCTTTTTCTCTCTCTTGTGTTTTTCTCTCTCTTGTGTTTTTCTCTCTCTCTCTTGTGTTTTTCTCTCTCTTTTCTTTCTTTTTTTTTCTCTTTTATAGAGGAAAGCATATCCTCTTCACTCAAAGACCTATATCTACTCAGTTTCATATCCAGAACATAAAGCAGTTCCTAAAAGTTATCCCTTTTTATATTTAATCTTTTACTTTCTTAAGACTTTTATTATAGTTTTTGGTCAATTCATATTTTTTAACTTATATATATATATATATATATATATATATATATATCTTGTTTTTTGCAAAAAAATAATGTCGTTTTTGACGTTAAGTTGAACGTCAAAACGACATTATTTTTTTTATCAACCTAATATCTTATTTATATTTGGGCAATACACAAAATTATGTATTTTTTAAATATATACATTCGAACACTAATTTTATATCTGGTTAGCAAATCATTTTAACTTGTATTTTAACAAAAAAGTCTGTTACTGCTCTAACTGCTAGTTTTTCACACTTACAATTTATTTGCAAATGCTGGTTCTCCTACGTCATTAATCCTTTTTAGATTAATGGTTTTGTCAATAAGTTCTATTAATTATTTTGACCTACTTTTGCTTTTCACATAAGATTAAATAATAGATTACTGTTAATCTCCACTTAGCCATCAGAAATGGTGCAAAAAAAACATCATTAATCAAAATTATTGTTAAACTATCAACTGAAATAGTTTGCTTCTCCTTTTTGGTTTTTTTTTTGGTTTTTAAATCATTTCATGCCAATGCTAACATACCAGTGCCAGACACGGCCCCAAAGAAAAACCCTCTCCTTTCTTTTCTGATCATTTGGATATGAAATGTCTGAGAAAAGGGGTGAACAAGAATTTCGAGACTTGATCAGGAATGAGGCACCTACTAAGAGATCTGGTAGAAACTACCAATCATACAACAATTGAATGACAGAGGATCAAGTGGTTCAGAATGTTGAATGGCTATCAACCAACCAGCCCTACGAGCATACACCTTCTTTATTGTTAATTTCGCTCAAAATTGTTTTCTGTTGCCATAGCAGGATATGATAACACAACTATGAAATTCAAACACGCCATTGTTCTGGAATCAGTTACCTTCATACAGAATGATAAAGGTTGAGAGAAAAAATAAAAATTAAGAAGACAGAAGATAACAATTGATATTGTATTTAAATTTTTCGAAGATCAGGGTTAACTGGAAAGTTCTCTATGTGAGAAGTGTGAGAGAAGAAACTTTTTTTTTTCTTGGTCCCTTTTCTTTTTGCTAATCTAATCTTACGTATCTTATTTATGATTTTACAGTGATTGCCAAACACATGCATTTTGGGCGTCAGGAAGATGCACATGAATTTCTTCGCTATGTTGTGGATGCACTTCAAAAATCCTGCCTCAATGGATATCTTAAGTAAGAATTTTTGGGCCTATTGATTTCTTCTTATCCTCAGTAGACTTCTGGAGATTTACTTTAGGTCCACTCCGCCTCTGTCAGTTTTATAGCAGATGAGTTCATTTTTATTAAATATCATAATGATATTTTCTTTTCTGAGAACTTGAAACATTTTCTTTCTTTTTTATTTATTTATTGTAATTGTTTTTCCTTTTCATTTCTTTTTGTTTTGTTTTGTGATTTTTTTTTTTTTTCGTGGGGGGGGTACTTTTCATGTTTTTTTTTTTTTTAATGTTTGTTTATTTTCTTAAAGTTAAGTAAAGCAAAAAGAAAGAAAAAATGTACATTGTTTCATTTTTTTATTTTTTTTATGGTGGTTATTTTTTTTTTTTTTTTTTTTTTTTTTGCCTTTTGTATCTCATTTAGATATTCCTTAGTTACTGCTTAAAAACAGTAATTTATTTATCTTTATATTGGCCTGTATTTAAATATACTCATAATATGGTTATCTGTTTTTCTTATTTTGGGATCACTATTGAGAATGATAAAAAAAATTTCTATAATCAAGTGCAGGTCATGAACAAAATTAAATTAATAGTTTGTAAAATTCTGTTTATTATTTGTTTAGTTTTTTTGTTTTGTTTTGTTTTTTATTTAAAATCTTTTTTTATGCTGTTTTTATACATGTTCTTGTTTATATATTTTCTTTACAGATTAGATAAATTTTTTTTTCTTTTTGATTAATCAAATATTTTTCTGCTTTCTCATATTTTCAAGGTAAGTGATTTCATTCAGTGAATTAAAAGACTGTTGAGTCATACTTAATGATATCTAAAGTCACCATTTACTACTGAGATCTATTACAATGGCTACAAAGACAATTTTAATGTAGATTGGTTAATTTTATTTAGCAGCATATCAACACCTCTATGCTTTATTTAATGCCAAAATCTAAATATTTTAAACACCATTTTATGACTTCAACTAAATATATATTTTTGAATGTAATTATATGTCATCAACTATTTTTTTATAAAATGTATCTTTTGGTAATTTTTTTTTATAAATATCACATTAATTTTTTCTACAAATAGGTATTGCGGGTAATTTTTTCTACAAATAGGTATTGCGGGTAATTTTTTCTACAAATAGGAAATTTGGGTTTTTTTTCTACAAATAGTATTTATTTTTTTTTCTACAAAAATTTTTTTAATTTCTACAAATAGGTATATCTGGTAATTTTTCTACAAATAGGTATTATGATAACGGGGAACAAAGTTTTGAGAAGTAGGTATTAAATACATATATGTAATTTTTTTTTATTATGGTAAGTTTTTTAGGTATTATTGCCGGGTAATTTTACTATAAAAGGTATTTATCGTAATTTTTATATAAATACATTTAAGAAGTAATTTTTTCTATAAATACATACTGCTGGTAATTTTTTCTACAAGTAGGTATTGTGGGTAATTTTACTATAAATAGGTATTGCTGGTAATTTTTTTTCTACAAATACATACTACTAGTAATTTTTTCTACAAATACATACTGCTGGTAAATATTTTGAAGACAATTTTATGGCTTCAACTAAATATATTTTGAACACAATTGTATATCTTCAACTACAGTATTGTTGGTCATTTTGTTGATCATTTTGCTATAAACTGTTATGTTAGTAATTCTATTCTAAATATTTATTGCTGGTCATTTTGCTTTAAAAATGTATTTTTATACTTTCTTAGTGTTTTGTTTTTGTTTGGGATTTCATTATTTGCCCATAACTGGGACATTAACAGATGCTAACATTCCAGGTCAGGGTAGACCTGGAAACAACAGCAATTAAGAGGTGATTACATGCTCCTCAAAACCTCCAATCTCCCAATCAGAGGCCTTGCTGCTAGATGTAGTTTATCATCATACCCAGGACTGTTTAATGTTGAACATTAACTGAAATTTTTCATAAAAATAACAGGTTTTAATGAATGTTTTTCAAATATACAGGTATTTTTATATGAAAAAAGCTTTGTTTTCGTTATTTGAATAATCCCAGAAGAATGAACCTTTCATCATTAAATATGTTTGACTTAACGAATTTAATAATAATATTGAATAAAAATTATATCAATAGTAGGAAGGTTATCTGTTTCAAAATTAAAATGTTCACTATTTTTGCAAGGAAATTTTTTAGATTTGTTTACAGAAAAGTTTCCACCTGCATTATACCAGGTCACGATTGATTTTTAAAAACCATTGACAGTAGTTTTTAATGTGTTTCGCAAAAATGTTTGATCTGGAATATCAGTGTTAATTTTTGAGGAACAATGTGAATGGTTTCCAAATTTTGCTAAACATGCGATCCTTTATTATACCCCATAACCAGTTTCACATTAATGTCAGATCTCAAACTTTCTGATCTATCCAGATTTTGTTTTATCCAACGATTTGGCCATCTTGACTAGCCGAATTTTTCAGGCAAAATTATGATGGTACCATCTTCTTTTACCTGTATTTAATCTATTCTTTTAAAACTTCTTTCTTTTATTCTTTTTCTATTATTTTTTTTTGTCCAGAAAAATCTTTTATTTGGTCTTTCTTTTTTCTTTTTTTATTCTTATTTTGTCAAATTTAAAGATTTCTTTTTTTTCTTTTATTTTTTTTTTCTTACCACTTTTTTAGAAATAAGCAGGTACTTATGAAAAGATTTAAAATCGATTTTCTGATTGAGTCAGTCTTCGTATATGTCTTTGCTGTTTTTCTTCAGAAATTAAAAGATGGATTATATCTTTATTCCATTATTTATTCTAGTAATACTGGAAACATCTAACTAAGAGAATAAATAACAAGAATAAAAACAATCATTTTATACATTTGACTGAATTTCATTTTTTGGGGTTTTTTTTCACAAAATAACCTTTTTTGTGAACTTTATTCTTCACTTACGTAACAAACAAAACTAAATTTTGGAAAGACTCTTTATATATATATTATGAATTAATTTGAATAAATTAATCAGGTAACCCTCGACTTGAAAAAGTTTTTGGACTAATGGAAGAATCTCTTTGTATTCGGTTAAACAGCAGACTTTCAGAATATGTTCAATTGGAACTTTACAAATTGAAAAATGAGGTCAAAACACGTTGAATTCGCAAAAAATTTCACCAGGAACTGGTGCGTTCTTAGAAAAAAGGTTTGAAAAAAAAAATGCAAGCTTCAGTTTTCAACAAAAAAAAAAATTAAAACCATAATAGTCATATAATAAAAGATTTTCAAGATTCATCTGACAAAAAAGATTATTTTAAAAAACTAGTTACTCAAAAAAAAAAAAATTTTATTCGTAGGCAAATTTTGCAGTTATCATAAATTGAAGATGGGCTTTTTTTTATTTATCACAAAAATAATGGCGACTCTAGGCCATCAATTTTGTCGGGTTCCCAAAATATTTAACAAAATATACGATTTTTATAAATTAGATTTACATATTCCTTTTTTAAATAAATAAATATTGAAAGGAGAAATTACAAAAAAAAAAACAGAAATTCAAGAAGACAGTAGAGATGATTGATATTACATTATAAATATTAATATTACATATCACATTATGATTTTATATTATATCCGAAATCCCTGTTCATCCGGAATCCCTCAATATCCAATATCGCTCATATCCGGAATATCATAATATAAAGTCCCTCATATATAAACATTATATCCGGAATCGCTCATTATGGAATCGCTCATATCCGGAATACCTCATATATCGAAATTATCATATTCATTATATATATCCCATTATTCATATCAAAAATTTTCATATCCGAAATACTCCCGTAATGAATCCATTAGATTCAAGTTATATGAGTATATTTGAACTATATATATTGATATATAGCTGAATGAAAATAATTATGAAATTACTGTTTTTGAAATTTACTTTGGATAATTGCTTATTATATTTCACTTATGAATTATTTAAATTTATTATTATAGAAATTATTTATTCATATCAATATATATATATTAAAAAGTGAAAAATTTAAACAGAACTTTCACTAGCTAGACATTTCTAGCTCGTGACATTATTCGGATAATGGCATGATATTTCAACATATGAAAATCAACATTTATATAAAAAAAAAAAGAAATGGGAAGATTATGCAGCATTATTACTATCACAATGAACAAAGAATATAAAAAAACATGATTGTGATGAGACATATGACTTAAATTATAAAAGCTAATTAAATGTTGTCGCTTTTATGGAAATTAAAGCCAGCATTTAGCATATGACGAATTGCAATAACACATTATATATTAAATAAAATTCTTCGTTTAAAACAAATTAAGAACAAAAAATGAAATGCGGAAATTTTTGAGAATGACATTGATTTTAAAAGAATCATCAGGCAATAGTAATTAAAAAAACATGGATTTAAAATTATTTGTTTTGCATATTTAATTTAATGAATTTTCATTAATATTACAAAATTTATTTATTTTGGACTAGGTTTCAGTGAAAAAATTATATAAGAAAACCATTTTTATTATTTGTTTAAGATAAAACATTGAAAATAAATGATAAAATCTCTAATTTCAGTTCTTTTATTTTAAATAATTATAGTATTCATGTTTATTTTTGTAACCAATACCTCAAATCCTGAAATTCTTACTGGTCGGTTGAAGATTGATATTTCAGAGAAATTTAATATAACCAGAGCATAAAAATCATTAGAATTAAATTTTTATATCTAGTTCAATTTAAAAATTTGAGAAATGTTTATAAATTTATGAATAAAAACATTTTTTCATTTTTTTTTTTATAAAAGTAAGCTCATTAAAACAATTGGAATGAAAATATAAATTAGTAAAATGTTTTCCATTTTAAAGGAATGACTGTAAAAATAAAATTGAAATAAATAAACAATCTAATCAGGACCAATATTTTTTTTGTAATTGGAAGGAACAAAAATGTATACAAAATTTCATCATATAATTTGGTTGGTTTATTACAATAATTTAAAAACCAGATTTGATAAAAAACAATGATCTGTAATAAGTAGAAGATAATTGAAAATAAATATTCTGTAAATTAAAAACCACATTTAACAGAAAATTCCTTTTTTGCCAAAATATAAAAATGTCTATCAAGATACTTGCCATTACTGATGAACAGAAATATTCAAAAGAATTTTTTATACAAGATTTTTTTTTTGAATTTGTTTTTCAGACAACAACTTTACTAAAATTAAAACAATTTGAATTAAGAAATTTCATTTATAGATTTTTCTAACGACAAATTAATTACGTTAATAAAATATCGCATTCTTTTATTACCGTAATTCATTGATTTTTAAAAATATTAATAATTTTTGCATTGTAAATTAGTAAAGGATTTAAAATATGGTTAATTGCAGAATATTTTTTTTTTTTAATGATTTCAAAGGATTTGAAAAAAAAAATGGATTATAAACCATTTAATAAAAAGCAAAATTTTGGGGGGAAAAGTGTTTAATTTATTACCTAAATTAATAAGTAAATACGCATTTTAAAAAAAAAAAATTTAAAGGGAAAATAACTCTTCTCATCATTAACATTAATTTACAAAAAAAATTGTTCAAAATTTTGCAGAATTAGATTGATTTCATTTGAGATTTGAATCTAACAAACATACGACAATTTCCTAACAGTCCAATGCATGAAGTCTAAGGAAAATCAAATCAATTATATGTACCTAACAATTTAAAATGTAAAATAAAAAAGACATTATCATAAAGCAAAATTAGAATATTTTTATTTTATAGAAAAACAATTTTATTGAAAACTGCATACATCTAAAGAAATTAACAAAAAAAAACAAATAATTTATGTATTTAAATTAAGCAAAATAGATAAAAAAAATTCCGTTTCCTTTTATAAAAAAAAAGGATTTTTACATTTTGAAAAAATATATTCAAAATTGGTTTGAATAAATAAAAAAAAACCTTATAAAAAAAAAAATCAGGGAAATGCAATTTAAATATTGTTTGATTAACAAAATTTTTCATTTTTAAGACTCATTATTTATTGTTAAAAAAATGAACACAAAAAAGTTTTTTAAAGCAGTTTTTTTTTTTTTTTTTTTTCATTATTTTTTTTGCGTTTTTTGGATTTTGTTTTGTTTTTTTTTTTTTTTTAAATTTTTTTTTTTTTTAAATTTTTTTTAAAAATTTATTTTAGAATAATTTTTTTTTAAAAAAAAAAAACAGGTGAACGTGAGCAATCTGTCATATTTCCTTTTTTTCATTTCATTTCTTTTGCAAATTTTAAATAGATTGGCCATTTTTTACATTTAAAACTCTTCAAGATAAATGTTTTTAACATATTTCCTTAACATCTGGAAAGTCAAACAATATTTTGTTAATTTCTGCCATTTCTCTGTATATATCCCAGCCAAATTTGCCTCGTTTATGATAAATTTTGTCATTTTGTTTCTATTGATCTTTTAAATCTTTCTCGTTTAGTCATTCTGATCCGTTTATATGTATATTTTACTGAATTTTAAAATAAGGAAACCAGGAAGAATGTTTCTTCAAAAATTCAACATCAAAACATAGAACAAATTATTTTTGTTCTCTTCGATGGGAGAAAATAGGCTTGATTAAATATTTTTAGTCATTATAGCCAGTGTTTCTAACAAGATTTTCCTGGGTTTCTATGTATTTTGGGGAATTTCCTAATAAACCATTTAATGGTAGACTTCGAAATGTCACATCTGTAAAATTTAATTCATCTAAACTAGCAGCCATACCCAGCTGGTTGATCAGAAAAAAGCGTTCAATTAGAATGGAGCAAAAACAGCATCATGTTTAGATATAACAGAGTCTATCTTCTTCAATTACTTGAAAGTACTTTCATTAAAAAACATTTTGAATTAATGCAGTTACTGATATAACAGAAGTAGTCTGTATTTATTCAATTGAAGTTAGCCGAGGACATGAAGGAGTAAAACAGGAAACATGAAGACTCACTTCAGACCACAATTATTTTGGAGTTTTGGAAATTCAATTTGTCAGTGTGCTACCAGGGATGTAAAAGAGGATACATTTATAAAGAAATTGTTAAGTTTCGTGAAAATTAGTTGAAAGATCAATGAAAAATAAGAAAGAAACCAGTAAAAATTGCCATTTTTTGCTATTTACGGGGGTTTTTCACTATATGGGTGGACTCAATTATCAAGTTAAATGACTGTTAAACAATCAACTTATTGTTGGCTACAATTGAGTGAAGTTTGTATTCGATTGCTTGAAAATTGAGGGAGTTTTATTTTAAAATTTATGTTGAAATCGATTTTTCGTTTTTCATGGTTTTTCGTTAAATGCAGTGGTGTAGAAATTAAAATGAGGTATCATTGAACTTGTCATGATGTAAGTAACCTACATACCAAGTTTGAATGAAATGGGAGGAAAAAAGCTGAATTTATTGATTTTTGATTGGCTTTATCAATTATTGGTTTTTAAAAATTATTGATTTTTTTTATACTAAGAAACTATCTCTTATTATACAATGTATGTGCCAAGTTCAGTCAAAATCAGTTGGATGGATCTCAAGTGAAAGGTATCACAGACACATACAAAGACACACACAGACATCTTC